CTCTTTTCATTCTGATCATTTATGTATACATTTGTCTATATCTATCTCGATTCGTTTTGCCTGTTACAAACAACCGTTATGTGAACAAAGTTATAATACCCTTGTGCACAAGTGCGCTCGGGTATAAAAATTGCGCTTCAGAACAGAAAGTGAAACATTTTACAGTGCAAAAAAAAAAATGCTACCGAGTATGAAGTCTAACGTTGAGGTCCGTAATAGCCGTTTAATTTGTTTCCCAGAAGTAGCTGAATGCCCAAATTAAGTTTCATATTATCTGCGACTGGTATTAGAATAAAACAGATTTTTTAATTTGACTGTACTAATCGTAATCACTGATCTCACAAAAATATGTACATACATTATACAATTTGTAGAACTACAATAACGCCCTCAATATTTTGTCTAACTCTTCGATGTTCCGACCAGTGTGCTTATCTTACAACTTATGTATGTATGTATGTAGTACATGTGTATGTATGCAAGTATATTAACCAACAATAATCAAATAATTAGTAAAGTTGTCTTTCCAATTCATATCAAATCGTGTTCAACGTTGATTAAGTGCAATGGTGCATACACCCCTTTATATCATAAGTACATATCAGATAAGCTTATTTAAAGGACACTCTGAGTGGCTCTGTTGAGCGTCTTTTGTTGATATGCAATATGTTAATGCTGTCATTTGCTTTGAGCTGGAAAGTACAAGTACAAACTAAGTAGCACGTACCTGCAACTACCAGCTGGTGAGTTCTTGTTAGTGTGCCCTAACACCGCATAATCTTTAAGCCTCCTAAATATATGTGTGTGTGCTTGTCCAAATAAGTGATTATGCAATTGATGCATTTCAAGCCAATTAATTTAAGAGAACTTGTGCAAATAGTGAGATACTCATATGTAGCTAGTAGGAATGTTAATCCCGGGATCTCGAAATTTTCAGGATTTGTAATTATCAGTGATGGCAATAGAAACTCCTTTTCTCGACCAGAATTGGCTATATATTTTTTTTATTTAATTAATATTTTTTAATAAATGTCTAGCTCATCAATGCATTCGCGAAACCATGGGCCAAATATAGTAAAATTGCGTTTTTAGTTTTTCGCTCTGACGTCAGTAATTCAAAAATGATTTAAAATTTCAGTGAAATGTGCTTAGAGAAGAAGTATGGGTATCAAATTAAAGAGGAAATTCTGTAGAATTTAAACAGCTTCAATTTTTTGGTGTATAAGGAAATTTCGCAACATTTGTTTTTAAAAAAATTATTTGTTAAGGACTTATATAAACTCGATAACGTCCTCGAATTTCCTCTTTCTAACTTTATCAGCTTAAAAAATTACCTACTCGTACTTGTGAATCCAAAATATTTTATTTTTTTTTTAATTCTGAAAAAAGTGTCTCTTTCACTTGGTACCCATATTTTTATTCTATATTGCATTGTTTTTTTTTTTTAATAATTTTTGGAATTAATCATACGTTTTAAATTACAAAGACCTCTAAAATAAATCCTGACGTCAGAGAGAAAAAATAAAAACGCCACTTTAAATAAAAAAAAAGCCGGTTTGAAACCCATTTATTTCTTATTAGCTTTATAGTAGGAGAGCTTCTCAAACAATGTAGAAGCAATTTTTTTCGATTTAAGTTGTTGGAAAGTAATGAATATCTAAATCCCGGGATCCCGGCATTGTGATAATGACATCCCGGAAATCAAAAAAATCAACATCCCTAGTAGGTAGTACTTAATTAGCACAAAACCAAAGTCTGCACATATACATACATACATACATACTTAAATTTATGTATCATGTATGTATGTATGTACATTCATTATCTCCTTTACTTACCGAATTGTGATTCATCCAGTAGCGTCTTTTTGATTTCATGTCCCTCATCGCTCCCATCTACATTTTCCAGTTCGGTGCGTCGTGGTGGCTTTTCAACCGGATTCACTTCAGTTAGTAGACTTTTCTGCATTTCCATAATCACCGATCCCTCAAGCATTGAACTATTGGTTTTATCCATTTTCGTTGATATCAGCCCATTTTCACTCATCATTGTCGTATCTTTCTGATAGGAACGTACCCGTCGACAATACCAGCAGGCAATGAGCAACACACACATGAGCAGCAGTAACACTGTGATGACAATCAGACAGATGACGAGTAGAAAATTCGATTGTGTATCTGTTGTGGAAGCGCCGATGCCACCGCCCATGCCCTCGAGTGCACCAAAGAAGTCGCCATCGACAATCAGCTGGAATTCAGCCTCTGCTTTGCCGCCTCGATTCTCCGCAATACAGGTGTACATACCTTTATCGCTGGCGCGTACGTTGAAGATGCGCAACTCGGAAGTGATCGACTCCGTGGGATCAGAGCTGATGAGTGGCTGCTGCTCGATGGAATTGAGTATGCGGAAGCGTTGGTCATTTGGATTAACGACGCGCCGATTGTAAATCCAAGTGACATTGGGCCGCGGTGAGCCTTCGACACGACATGGCAACGTTATATTATCCGATTGCACTTCGACGAATGATCGTACCGAACCAAGTATGCGCGGATAGCAAGCAAAATTCTCCGACGGTATGTCAGTCCAAAGCTTGCCGCGCAGCGCTGGTGGTTGTGCGCAATCTGTGGGCGGTGTGTAGAGGCGATTGGCGAGCGCGAAGTCGCGAAAGGCTTGCAGTTCGCACGTACAATTCCAGGGGTTCTGCGCCAACGATAAATGCATCAGTTTGGGTATGCGCGCGAAGGTTTCCTTGCGTAGCACAGACAACGCATTCGCCTCCAGGTAGATAGCCGAAAGCATAGGCTGTTGACCGAACGCATGAACTTCCACCGTCTTGAGGCGATTGTTCTTAAATTCGACGCGCGACAAAAATGGCAAATCTACAAAGAGATAATTCTCCAGCACCTCGATCTCATTATGATTCATGACGAGATTACGCAGCTTTTCCAGCCCGCCGAAAGTGCCAACATGCAGCTCACGTATGAAATTGTGCGACATGTCCAGCTCGATGAGTATGGTGAGACCTTTGAGTGCATCGCGATTCAATTCTTGTATGGTGCAATTGCGCAGGAAGATTTTATGTAAATTCTGCAAATTCGCATCTGCGAACTCATCACGCCGCAACTCGGGTATTATATTATTCGAGAAATCCACCACTTGCATCTCGTTGCTCAGGTCGTCGGGTATGGCGGTGAGTGAGCGCGCTTTGCAATCAGCTGTTTTCTTACCCGAATTCCAATTGCAATGGCAGATGCTGCAGCGTTGCATCCAATCGGGGTTACCAGCTGTAGGCGCAATGCTATCGATAAGCAGCAGCAGCAGGAGTAGCGATTGTGTGATAAGCAGCATGAATGCGGAGAGGCTTGTGCTGCGTTGGTAGCGCGGGTAGCGTGGTCTTTGCGGCGCCGTCGGTGGCGTGTGATTGCTTTGCTTTGTGCTTGCGCTTTCGCACGTTTCTTGATAACGCTGGTTGTGCATTTTATAGTTGCTATGACAACAACTCGCTGTACTGTTATTTATGTGGCTTAACATGTCGTGTGTTGTGTACATATATAGTGGTTGCGGGCGGTGCACGCAATGCGTTTGCGGATGTGTGCCGCAGCAGATGGGACTTTCAGTTTTGAGCTCTCTCCTGGCCGGTGGTTGTTCGTTAATTACCTGCTGCGCTTACAATGATGTCAGCAGCAGGCGCTCGCTTGCCGGCTGGCTATGTTGACGTGGCAAGCGCTGCTAATACGCTCACGTCATCAATGACACACGCTTTGTGTGTTGTGCCGCTGTCAGCTGGAGTTAGCCAATTTTTGATACTCAGCTAAGCCTCTCTTCTAGGGTAGTGGCAGTGTATCCGTTGTTGCTTGCACAAGTTAAGTGTATATTTTGTGTGTGTGTGTGTGTGTGTATATGGCAGTGGTATTGCTCGCTTATTGCTGACAGTTGACTACCGCAAACTTGTGATTAATTAACGTCCTTGCCGCCAATTCTTTGTGTTGGTGAACCAGATGCGGGTGTGCGTGCGAAAGCGTGTTGATTTGTTTGTAGATTATGTCGTAGTTGTTGTAAGCCTTTGGAGAACCAACTCTTGCACTCAGCTTCGATTGTTCGCACACCAACAACTAAGTAGCCAGAAAGATTGGCAATGCCGGATGACTAAAAGTAAAATAATGAGTAGAAAATAAATTAAAACGTTAAGTCAAGAGGATAAGAGAAAAAAGAAATTGTTTAGTAACATTAGTAAAATACATGTTATCAGAAATTTTTTTATTTAAAATTTAAAATGTAAATAAAAGAATGAAGTATTTATTTTACAGTACCAAAGTTTAAGCCTAAAGTGACTATAATATATGAAGCGTTTCTAACATTTTATATTCATTTTTTTTCTGTTCCGATTGCCCCACATAGGGCGACGGACGCAAGCACCAACTCCGAACCTTCAAACTTCTCCACTGCCCGAACACATAATGGACAAAGAAGATTACGTTTGTTAGCCTTTTTTGCTTCCCAGCAATACCACTGCCTTTCATTAAGTCCTAAAATCGCTGGCCGGCAGTACCTAGGGAGCCGAAGGGATCACCGTCAAAAATACTACACCAACCCGCGATGCTTATACATCGGCCTTTTCGTCTACCGACCGACTGCAGTGTCTTCCAAGCGGCGAACTACGCTTTTACTTAGTAGTAGAGTTCCAGAAGATAAAGCCACCGCCGACTGTCAAGCAATCGTATGGAAACATCGCACCACGCTAGCGTCACTGAGCCTGGGTCCCCAGACAAAGCAATATTCAAGGAAATGAATCGGCTAGCGTTTTGTGAGCCCGTGGTTTTTGTCAGATTTCAAAAATATTCAAGACGGTACTTAAGGAGGCTAAGCACAATGTGTATACCAAATTGGTGTCACCCCTATTTTCCTAAACTTCCTTGAAAAACCACTTTTTTGTTAAAGAGCTATTATATATATCAACTTTGTTAAATATTGATGAATTCCTTAGCCACACTGCTCAAAAAATCTGAAATTCCGGTACATACACACATAAAAATTCGAGGCCGTATTTAAGAAAAGTTGACTAACTTTGACAATTTTTATGCGATTCTAATAAATGAGGTATCAGTTTATTTGAAAATCGATCGGCCAAAATAAAAAAAAATTAAGAGAAATATTGGTATTATTTTAATATACCTGATAAAAAATCCCAACAAGCCTAGTCCGACAATAGATTATTATATACCATTTTAAAGGCCATTATATCCTCTTCTCAGATCATATTCGACCTTTTAAATTGTATCAAAAATAGTCATTCAAAAACTCATAAATTTACAAAATTCTATTTTCTGACCTAAAATGACAGGTCGCGACCTCTAAATTACTTTTAAAAAATCTATAGAAATAGGCAATAATATTTCTCAAAAGAACGAATAAAATTAGGTGGCAGGGCCTTGAAATTTCCAAAAAAGTATTTTCGATGGGCACCCTAATGTACATATGTTGCCTGATTAATGACCGAATGTGGAAAGAAAGGCAGGCCCGTATCTGAGTTTGCCACCCAATGCATTTCCTTGTAGTTAACACCGTTTTGCATTGCTGTTATTTTCTCATCCGCGGGCATTAAGACTGTTCTGTAGACATGCTCCCATTAACCAAATAGAAACAAATTTTATTGGTTCTTTGTATTACATTTTATGCTGGTTACTTATTCAAAAACTTTCACTGCTTGAAAACTGTTTAGCTGGCTGCCGCAACTGATTGCTGATACGAATATCAAGTCGGCATTGTGGCAATAAGCAGTCAGGCGATTCACTGACTGAGTTTGTTGCTTTTTTGTTCGCTTGTGTCATAGTTTTTTCTCGTATTTTAAGTAAACTATATACTTACTGGTTTGTTGTTTTTTGCCTTGCAGTTGCGCTAATTCCTTGATGTTTTTACTCTCCCACTTTTTCACTGCTTTATCGCAGTGAAACTATTTTTTTTGTTCTTCTTTTGAGAAATGAGCTAAGAAAAACTTTGACAAATGACCCGGATTAGTGGCAAATTAATGCGTTCTTTGGTAATATGAAAGCGCTGGAAAGGAAAACGCGAGTAGCTCAGTCGCAAACAAAAAGGGAAAAACTTAAATAAGACTCTGACAGCTAAATTGTAAAGTTAAACAAAGCTGGGGAAAAGAATTGCAGTGGAATGTTAAAGAAAAGAACTAAAAAATAAAAATTAAAATATTAGTAAAAAAAGGCAAGCAAATTTGCAATGTAATGGTTTGAACATTAAAACAAAAACACCAGTTGGTAGTTCAACTGTAATTTCTTAACGAATCAAGTTGACAGTAAACATCTGCTTCAGTGCTCATTGCAAGCGCACACCTGTCCGCGTTGCACAACAATGTTGCCAGCTGCTGCATTAAATACTTGGCGAGAAGAAATATCCGTAAAAAGGAAACAACTACTATAGAGTAGCAAACAAAAGAAGCTTTGCCGCTATGCTCATAAAAGGCCTCGCGGATATTTAGAGGCGCAGTACGAACGAAAGCGCGAAATCTTCTTTTAAATAAAGAACATTTTCATTAGCGCTATTACGTTTGCAGGTATTCCGTTGGCTTAGCATAGTTTAAGGGAAATTCCTTGTTGTCGTTGTGTTGGTTTCGATTTATGAGTTACTATTAAGAAAAATTTTGTTGATGAATTACAGCAAAGAAGTACGTTTAACTAACGCAAGTATCATTCAAGGTTACTTAAATGTATGCGAAGCTGACATACGAATTGACAAAAAGTCAAAAAAAAGCTGTAATGAGTAGCTTCTCAATAATTCTAGAGAAGGCTAAAAAGAGTTACGGATATTTTGACAAAAAATATTTTTTGTTTTTCAGATTCACGAAGCAGAAGACATGTCGCAAAACACACAAAAAAAAGGTGAGTAGCTCTCGAGTTCTTGAAAAGGCTAAAAAAAATCCGGATAGTTTGAAATTTATCTTTTTTAAACTGCGTATGCCAGATTCACGCAGCATACGACATGTCGCAACAGGCAAGTAAAAAACTGTTCTCGAGTTTCTTTCCAATAGTTCTAGAGTTCCTGAAAAGGAAACAAAAGTTCGAATAAATTACGCAGAAAAACAGTTTTTTTCAAAAAAGTTTAAAAACTTTAATGTTAAAAAAAATTCAACTTAAAACTGTTTTGAGGAGCTTTTAAATAGTTCTAGAATTCCTGTAACACAAAAAATTTAAAAGTATATCGGCGTGGAAATATATAGTGACAATTTTTTCAGAGATGAGATCAAAGGTATTAGCTTACCTGATAAATATGAAATTTAAGGGTTGCGTTGGTTGTAAAAATTTCTGCGCTTTTAAATAAATTATTTGATAGACTTTAAATTTTAAGCAAAATATATTTACAATTATATTATTTTCAATAAAAGGACTACCAATGCTAGTTAGTTAAAAAGAAGCTATACACTTGATTTTCGAACAGCAGGAATAATAACAAAATTTTAGACAATTTTTAAAATGACTTTACATATACATACATAAATCTGAGCTTCCATTAAGCTTCCGCCCTGATCGAGTGGTTAGAGGGCGCACTGCCAACATTTAAAATTTTAAATTTTTTTTAACATCAAGGCGCAAACCAAAATTCGGAAGAGCAGCTCGGCCAAGCACTAGCAAATGTATAAGCGTCAAATATTTTTTTGCATTTTCCATGAAGCTTCGAATCGGCTGCCTTGGCTTATTTTGAGCTTAGACCACAACTTGGTAAGAACTTTTAAAGTCAGTGATCTCACAAAGATTAAGGGACTGTAGTTTATGCGTTATGTTTAGGCCTACGATGCAAAACACTTTTTAGCAATTTTAAAACTTTCCTCAATAATCCACAATGAATCCGCATTTCTTCGATAACCGAACCGACAAATCTGGCCCAGATGTAATAAGAAAAGGTCTGCCTCATTCATTCATCTGTGTCGGTATTGCGCAGGGCCATCGATATGTACATATGTATTTTTATTTTTATTATTTTATTATTTTTTTATATTTTTATTAACGTTGTGTAAATGCCAAAGAAAATGAGAAGTTGTCCACAAACACTAAGCGGGACATATTCATGCCAACATCATGCCAACAAAAAATACTAACGTGACAAATATGTCCCATAAAAAAGTAGTGCCATTTTCAGAAGCGAACTAAATGGCTTTAGTGTAAGTTTTCTGCACAAAAACCATTTCGAACCATTATCTGAACCTCAAAATACCCGACGGGTGATATATAACGTAGATTTTACGTAGATTTTATTTAAGTTATGCGTAAACTCTTGCCGGGGCGTATGTGTCCCGTTCGGATAGAAAGGGTTAAGATTATTTGGTGTTGAATTACCATTATCAGATAGCTAGAGCTTTTAAAAGAAAATTGAAGAATTAAGTGGCAAATGGCAGCTGGCTCGACTTGATGTATGAAAAAATCGCGAAACAAATGTTTAACATTTACTTTTCCAAATATACATATATACATCTCTAAGTATACTATGAATAATTGCATTTCTTCGTAGAATTAGGTACATAAACTTTTTCTTTGCGGCATGCTTTGTGATTCATTTTTAGTTTTATATCTTTTGAGTTAACGCATTTTCTTTTTCGAAAGTTTCAAATGCGGATTTAATATTCCAAATGGCTTCTTTACATTTCTATTTAGTACACTTCTAACCCACTGCAGCTAGACTTTTCATCTTGCCACTATTGAAATTCATGCGCAAAACTAAAATTGCTTGCTGCAAAGGTAATGATTAATGCGCCATTAAGAAATGTCTGAGCGTAAGTTTTCGCTAGTATTATTCAAAGCTCGTTGGCCTTGAATGCGTACTTTTTCATTGGCAAGTTGTAGATGAAAAGAATAATTTTCATTGCAGATTTCTTTGCAGCTAAGCTATTCATTAGTGACGCAAAAGGAGCATATTCATACGAATTGTGGATATTTTAGACAATTGAAGAGACAACTGTGTACTGATGGGTGCTGTTGCTGCTTGATGACTGCAACAAGAGAAGGACTGAGGAGAACGCAAACTACATGAAAATGAAATGCAAATAAATATAAATGAATTCTGGTTGCTGCAACTGTCTACCCGAAGGGCAAAGGGGGCGGTTAGTGGTGGAAAATTTGCAATTATTACACGACAATCTCAAGGCAC